CAGTAGGATGAGAAGATACAATCAATTGAATAAATATGTAGTAAGCCTCTACTAAATTTGTGGCACTAGGAGCTGTGATTTATTATGAATTTATAGAACCTATATTTGGAGGTACAAAGGAACTGGTTGTTAACAATGAACATATAAAAAGGTAGATTGCATGTTGGAATAAGTACTATTGAAAAAAAAAGGAGAGCATGGTATGAGGTGATGGGAATGCAGAAGACAGTATTAAATAAGATTATCAGGAGCAGCCCTTTGGGAATACAAATAAGGGAAGGAAGTTAACCAAGCAGATAACGGGGAAGAGATAGCCAGGCAGGAGTTAGAGTGGTGATCCTAAGTATATGAATAGTGATAGCAGACCTATCCATAGAATTTAAGATCTCTAGGTTTCTGAAATAAAATAGATTGCAAAATGAATTCAGTTTATATAGTGAAATAAACCGTTCTCACTCAGTAGTCACTTGATTTCAAAACCTCTTGTTGCTATAACCGCTAACTAAAGATAGGACCATCCATGTGGTTTTCAAGTTATCTTCAAAACATAAATTCCTTTAGTAGTAATCAAACCTTAGGTAAGCCAGGGTTATTATGGAAAATTTTTTTTGTGAAATTATGGTCTTTAGATAAGTGAGGTGTTCTTCCTGTGAGTATAACAACATTTGGAAGAGAAAAAAAAGAAAAATTTCCTCTCCGTTTAGATATCTATTCATTTCATACATGGTGAGTACAATTCAAGTTTCAGCATTTTGTTCAGATTTGGCTGTAGATGATTTTCACTGAAATACCCACAGTAAGGATTCAAGGGACAATAGGAAGATAACTGACTGCCTTAAGAAAATAAAAGAAGCTTTATTGCAGACAGTCAGCATGGGCTACTTAACTGAAATGCCAAACAAAACTAATCCACTCATTCTAATAAAGAATTTAAAATAATACAGAGAAATTCTTTAACATTACTACTTCAGAAAAAGTGCAGGAAATAAAATTAGCCTTGAGGAAAGGAACAAAGCCATTAGATGAAATCCTATTACTGATGTGACAAACAGCAAGATCATTGCCTGTGGCATCCAAACATCCATATCCGCAAGGTAATATCTCATGCTAATTCCAGATGGAAATCGTTTCTGATCCATTTGAAGGTTGAGTTGGGACTTGTTAAGAAGGTAGGTTTCATATTTTGAAGATAAACAGGTTTCATTAATCATGAAGTCATTGGAACAGCTAAAGAAAATACACAATTTAGATTTTAATTTCTCCAGGTTACTGAGTGAAAAAGACTTTTAGTGGTGTATATATACCAACTCCACTGTTCTTAGGACCAGACACCCATTGCTTGTGTATTTTTGTAGAATGTGCCATCTGAAACTCTTAATTTAAATTTTGTTGATGTTTATAGTTCTTTTTATATTTTTAGAGGTTGTTGACCAGTCTAGAATTTTTTCCATTTTACAAGAAAAATAGAAGATAACAAAACAGACCTTGATAATTTTTGTTTGAAAACTCTAGAACATTAATGAAAACTCAATTGTAGAAAAAGAAGATAATGTTCCTTTAATTTTTGTTTGAATTTTGTTAGCTTTTACGCTTTCCTTATTTTCCATCTGTCCTAATTTCTGAGAGACATTTCTTCAATTTCAGATTTTTTACTTCTATCGTATTTTTTCATTCTGGTTTAAACCTTGTCCCTGAGTATTCTCTTTTTATAGTATTCTGCCCTTATTTCATGGATGGAATATCTTTGTTAATTGAGAATATTACTAATAGCTCTTTTGTTGTTTTCTTTCCCCAACAACTTCTCTCTTCAATTTGCTGTTTTCTGTTTTGATCTCTGTTTTCCTGTTTGATAGTCTCCTTGATTAGCTTCTTGTTTAGAATCACACAAAGGCCAAATCCTCGTAACTAGGATCCTTGCCTGTTGTTTCATGTTGTTCTTTAGTTGTAAAGAATAATAAAAAGGTAATAACACATAGTATTATGTATTGCATAGCATGGAAAAGCTGCTAAATTAGACAAGCTCGGAATCCCGAAACCACCTCTGTGTTCAAATCAAAAATAAACTCACATTTAACAACACAATTAAAATTGAGCCTTGAGTTTAAAATCATCTTTTAAACATTCTTTTAAAATATTCATTTTAGGGTGTTTGCCAGCTTCCCCCTAAAAATGATGAAAACGAATATCCGCACAGGAGAATTGATATCAGGTATTACTCAAAATGTGTTGTTGACCTATTAACTTGTTCCTTCTTTCCTCCTTTTCCCTTCTCACTCTGTATATCTTCAAATTCACATGAATGACTAGAAATTCTTTTCATTCTAAAGTGTTATGTTTCCTGCTAAAATCAGTGTTATCTTGAAACTGTCAAGAGCAATGGCTGTCTGCAGAACCTCCTTTATTTTCTCTAGATATGCATCTCACCATGATGCCTTCTACAGCTCAAAAAAAAAGTTTCCTCTTAGGGAAGGTTAGTTGTAGTGAGTGATAGGACTTTTCATTTCTCCACTCCTCTTGCAGAGCATAGTTTACTGAAACCTAAACTAATTGCAAGGTTAGGGTGATTTGAATAGTCAACCTAATGATAGTCTCTTCTTAAGCTACTAGAGACATAGACTTATTTTAGATGTTTTGTGCTGTATTGATTTTAAGAGCCCTATTTTTGCCAAATTTGAAATGTTTAATAAAAGATTGTCTTTCTGTTTAATTATTTTTTAGGTTGATACCCAAGGATCAGTATTACTGTGGTGTTCTCTATTTCACTGGGAGTGATATTTTCAATAAGAATATGCGAACTCATGCCCTAGAAAAGGGCTTCACAATCAATGAATACACAATTCGCCCCCTGGGAATCACTGGTGAGCATTTGTGTGTACACTAGAGATAATCCTGGTCATCTGGAGAAAACTTTTTAAAGAAGTTTAGCAACTTTGGTTTCTTTAAAAAGCCTTTAGTAACTACATCAGTTAATTGTAGTTTCTTTATATTGTTAGTCCCTAAGGCAGCAAAGGGGACTTTAATCCTTACAGTGCTCTCAGGTGCTCAATTGAAATAGTAACAAAAGTTATTTCTGGCGCTATTAAAAATGGATTAAATCCTTTCTGTAATGATCAATAAAAAATCTTATTGATCTAAAGTGTGATTTTGATTTTCTAAATATATCTCCAAGACATCTGAAGAGCCATTGCAGGTACCATTGCTTTTAGTGCCAGTACAAACTTGGCATCTTTTGCTCCATGCTTTGCAAGTTTAAAGAGTAACAGTTGCTTAATTTATGCTTTATAGATCTTATTAATATTTACAATAAACTGTGATTTCCTAATAGAGACTAGGAAAATAAAGATTTTGTCATTGTGTCCTAAAAGTATAAAACAGAGCTTTCATCTCTGGTAGACTAGGGCAGAGCTTCTAACCTGTCACTGTACATACAAATACATTGGGCTTCATTATACGCAGATTCTGAGCACTGGTCTTGGTGTGAGGCCCAAGAGTCTATATTTCTAATAAATTTGCGGCTGATGCCAGTTCTGCTCATCCAAGGAACACATTGAGAGTAGTGAGGGCAGTAACTAGAATATTTCATGTAACATATGTTAGCTACAATGGAGATGCAGCAGAGAGCAAAATCATGAATTAGGTGGCCATAGTAGGGACATTTTGATTCCTTTTGTAGCACTGGTAACATGTGATGAAGCTGAAACACAAGGTCACATGGGGGAATGGCAGTGGTCAATATCTGTTTTTCAGTGGTTTAGTTACCGTTGCCTTTTCTCCTGAAAATGAATCCATACAACTCTACCTTATATTTCAAATTCTCCCCAATTTTTTTTTTTCCTTTTACTTGTAGGAGTTGCTGGAGAACCCCTGCCAGTGGATAGTGAGAGAGACATCTTTGACTATATCCAGTGGAAATACCGTGAACCCAAGGATCGAAGTGAATGAGGCCTATCCTTACTCCCGGGTGCAGCTCAATAGGAGTCTTAATTTATTTCTTAACCTTTGCTATGTAAGGGTCTTTGGTGTTTTTAAATGATTGTTCCGCTTCATGCTTTAGCTTGCATTGTAGTAATAAAATGTCATGTACTATTATCAGATGATCTTGTTCTTATTTTATTAGCAAATATGTTTATATTTACATATTAGGTTCATAATCCAACTTTACTAAGGGCTTAATAGAATTAAGAGATAATATGATAACAGATTTTTGATGGGACTTTTTATTTTCTCATTTTCTGCCTTATACAGTATACCACATTATCCCCACTATCTTTCTTCCTATTTACTGATTACAAATTAGTCAATTAAGGTGCCCCCAGAGGCTAGCCTCTGTGGAAGATGGTTCACTATTTTTTAGAAATTAGGGACCTTCATAAATTTAATTTTTTCCTTTGGTTGGCCCATATTCAATTTTGTAATATGTACTTAAAACTTAAATAAAAGAACACAGGCGTATGATGGGTTGTAATCTATTAGAGAGTTTCCCTAGGCAAAACCACTTCTAATAGGTACCCATACAGTTATAATATGAACTCTTAGACTTCAAACAAAAATTTCACTTTTTTGCCCTAGTTTTCCTACAAGGTAACTTTGAAGTTCAAACACTCCCTGAAAGCTATAGCTTTGAAATATAAAAGTTATATAAATATAAAATATAGAAGATTATCAAATCATGAGCTATTGAAAACAAAGTATATGTAAATGCTTTGTAACTTGCAAGGACCAGAAAAATATCTTTTGAATCTTACTTATTAGCCAAATTATTTTGTAATTGGCATTTCCCTTCCAAGAAAGAAAGCAATAGGGGTTTAGAGGAAAAATACACTATTTGCTAGAGAACCATATTACTTTTCTGCAGAATTAGACAAAAATGCAAAATTAGTTTCATTTATTACAAGCATCATCTTACCACTCGCTACCTATTTCAGTTGCTACAATATATTTGACTTTAAAATATATTCATATAGATAGATTTAAAAATTAATGTCCAACCATTCTGCTTGAATACAATAAGGAATCTTTATTATGAAGTATTTACAGCTTTTCAGATTTTTTGACATACTCTTAACCGCGCATGTTGCCGATTGCCAGACACTTGACTTCTACATGACAGTCCAGGACCACAGTCACAACGCTGGAAGATTTCTGGAGCTTGAGCAGTATCTTTATGCCCTCTCCTGGAGCAGACCTGTCCCTCCAATAAGACTGGTTTACACATTTTAGTCCAAAAATGACGAGCACAGCAAAGTCCAGGTCCACAGTCAAAAGATCTAAGACAGCTTTCTCCCTCTTGTCCTGTAACAAGATTAATATGGGCTTTAGCAATAAATGGTGAGAAGCACTGGGGGAGAGGGGCTTGCTACTGGGAAAAAGCCATGGGATATAGGATTGGTATCCACAAAGTAAAAATAGGAACATCAGGCAGGTCAGAGCTAGCGCATATGCTAGAAGCATTAATGAAATGTAAGTTTCAGCCTTACCTAAAAAACTTAATTGTTTTATAAAGTTAAGACATTTCAATCTTAAAACACTTTATAATGTTAAAATATTTATAAAAGAAACTTGGGACTTCAGTCTTCAGAAATGAAATACCACTTGTCAGTGTTTCATAAAAGGATTTATACACAAAAAGACCATTATTTACAAAGGGACTAGATAACCTGAAGATGAAGAATGTCCAGTTCACCACCTACAAATATTCTGGCTACTTTATGTCAATGGCTGAAATCTGAGACTGCCGTTTTGTAAAAAGTTATGTCTTAGTGGAGTTTATATTTTGTACAAGGATGAAAACTTAATGTGTCTACTTTAATTTCTCTTTTACTTTGCTTCCTGAGGATTTAGAAAGGAAAATTGTCAGTTGTTAAATTGTAGGCTGTAAAAATGTGTGTGTAAAATTTAAGTAAACAAAGGTTTCCTTGCTAATCAGTCCATTATTCCCTATTCCCTTGGCGGGCTGCTACCTTATATACTGCTCTGTAGGTGATCTCAGGAGCTGCTTACAGAAAGGCATTAGAAACAAGAAACAGAACGTGCTCTCTCCCCAGTTATTTCTGGGGTGGAGAGGAATAAAGGCAGTTTCAGTCTATATTTAAGAACCTAGAAGTAGAAACGTTCTTTAAAAACTTCCTGAAACTTATGTAATATTTTAATACAATGTTACCTCAATTTAAAAAAAAGTAACAGAATGCTGCTCTTACCCTTATTGCCTTGTGATTTCTTAATACTTGGCTTCCTCTTGGGCTTGTTGTCCTGAATTGGATGTTCACTTGTTCCTTTTGTATCTATGCCCTCTTGGTCATCAATCTGCCTTTCCAATATTGGGGTTGCATCTTCCATGGTAGTACAAACATCTGAGAGACAGCCATTTGTAGTTAGAGGTATTAACTTCAAGGAATAAAAACCACAGACATGCTCATGATCATACTGTGATAGAGTTTGGCAGTACCTCTGCCTTCACTTTACATAGAGCTTTCTAGATTTCTGGGACAGACACGCTAAATTTTTTTTAAAAGATTTGTTTCTATTTATGCATATACTGGGGTATAGGCCAGAGGTGCTGGGGCGGAGGGGTGAGGATTCACCAGAGACAGAGTGGGGAACAAAACAGGCACATCCACTGAAATACACTGCTGTGGGGAGCAGGGGCAAGGCAGGAGAGGTCTGCTGTGCCATGTGGGTCAGCTCCCTGGCTGGGGACGGAACTCATGCTGCAGTAGCTGGTAATAGCATGATAGTGCTGAGACTTTAACCCCTATGCCACCAGAGAGGCCCACATGAAATATTTTTTATAGACTCACATGTGACAAAGTTCATTAAATAATAATGGAATCCAAGTGAAAAATGGAAAAATTTGAAAGATTGCAAGTTAAACCCTTTAAAATCATTGTCTCTAAGTTTCTTATAAAATGTGTTGCCAGGAAATTATTTTGATGCATTGAGAGAAAGGCAGTTGCATAAATTTACTTCAAGTATGAATCTTCGAAGCCTTTAAAGAGTGAGTGCCTGTCTTGAAGTATTCTGGCCTATCAAATTGAGATGCTATTCTCAGTTTCAAAACCATGTTCCGCAGAAGCCAGAGGTCCTACATGGGTGTGAGCTTACCGTTGATGCAAAGTGTTCCTGGGCAGCACATGGCATTCCGTTGGCACCTCCTTCGTAACCCTCGACAGGTAGCACAGAACGGCTTCTCATCTTCGGGCTTGAGGCAGAATTTTCTGGTATTGCAGTCCTTGTCAGACATGCACTGTGAACCCTGTGAAGGGGAAATATCACATGGCTGGAGAATCCAACAATGACTTTAATCAAGGGCAGAAGGCAGATGAAATTAAATCACAGTAGACACTTTGAATGCTGTGACTAATCTTAGGCAGTGTTTTCATTTCAATATAATTGCTTTCTTTCTTACAAAGGGAAGAACAAATCACCAGCAAGGGGACCCATGTGGTGCGATGGTTATTTGTGTTTGTAAAACTGTCCTACCTTCAAAACTCAAAATTTAATTTTCTTATACTCCTTGTGAAAATGGAAGAAAATTTTTTCCCATGTGTGTCTTACAAATGATACAAACCTTTTGAGATACACATAGGCACACAGACACACACACACATACAGAAACTGCTGCAGTTTAACTATAATGTTGGGATGTGGCATTCTTATTTGATTTTCACTCTAGGGAGTCACATCAATCATGGCATCCATTTGTCCATTGACACCTCAATGAGCCTTATTCAAGTAAACTGTCCTTTGATTTTTAATGATGCCTCATCTGCGCAGAGAAACAGATACCAAAACCCAGTTTTTCTTACCCACAATTGATGCCTTTTTATACACACACACACAAACACACACACACACATAAATATATATATAAAAGGATTCCTAAAACAATTCAATTATGCGAGGCAAGCAGGTAACAAGACCATGTGCCTTTACTCCTGTTTAAATTCTAAAGCCCATATTTCATGGCTGTGTGGCTTTGGCTAAATTTCACCTCATTTTTAAGTAGGAGGTGTGATGCTTATCTAAAGATGTGAAGAAGATTAAACAAGATATTAAGTATTTAAGTCCAGAGCCATGGTAAAAATTTCTGAATGTTTACTCCCTGATTTATGGACACATGTATAACTGAATACCCCCCAAAGCCATTTTGTTTAGTTAATACGTTATTTATTTCTAAGGAGAGCAGATTCTCCCAGGGTGCCCTCCCAATTCCTTAATCCAGTTCACTTCTAGATATTTCAGACATTAATTTGAATGATTCAAACCCAAAGCCAGCACCCCCCATCACAGATGCTCTCCTAGTTGCACTTTACCTTCCGAGCCCCTTGCACATCAGCAGAGCTCTTGATGTTGTTGAAGTCCAGAACCAGAGCCCCCAGGGGAGCGCAGAACCAGCCTAGCCCCAGCAGGACCGCCACCACCATTCTCAGTGGCCAGGTCTCCACCTTCTCAGTGCTTCCCCGGCCCCTCCTCTGAAATCAGACTGCTCTAAACTCCCAGTGGAGTTTTCGCCAAAATGAAATAGAGCAAGCCGTCTGAAACTGCTAATTTTTTTTTAAGAGAAGCAAATCTTCGTCTGCAAGGTGTGTGAAAGAGGATGAGCAATGTCTGACCAGCAGGTTCCTCCTGAAACGATTTATAGCCACATGCGCCCCCTCATCTCTCCTCCTCCCTCATTTCCTTCCTTCTTACCCCACACAGGCTTCAACAAATCCCTCCAAATCTGTTTGATCAATAGTTCAAAACAAGGACTCAATAGAGGGAGCGAAGAGGCAGAGCCACAGCGCCTTCTCCTCCAGGGGCTGAATCCCTCTTAATTATTGCATATCAAAGTTAGTTCAAAGGGCTAGCAGAAGAGCAGGATGTCTGTATCAAAGCAAGCTCTGATAATCACCTGCATTTCCTACCTTCAATAATCCTTTGGGGGGTGGAGGGAGTCTGTTCTAAGATCTGTTTTCACAGCTAATTGTGCTCAAAGAAAGAATGAATCATATTGGCCACTATGTTATAAAGGATGCCAAAAACTAATGAGTTACAAAATATACCGAGAAGCTTCAAACTGTGCTTCAGATAGTGAAGACAGATAGAAAAGAGAGAAAATGCCTCTCATTAGCTCTGGCATCCAGATGTAAAAGTCCCAATAGCTTAAAAGCTATGAACATAATAGCACCTGTTCTGACTAAATGTCAATTGGAAAATAATTTTCCTTAAAATGGAAATTAAACTGTTTGAAGTTAGGGTTAGTTAAGTAGGAAAATAATGAGATTTCAAGAGATCCCATTTTTTTTTTTTTTTTGATGCTGGGGACAACCACAAAAAGTCCATTTTATACAGATTTATATAATTTCGTAGGAAATTTTATATCCATTTTATAAGCAATGTATTTATTTTGTAGGCATTTTGTTGAATCAACTTAAACAGGACAGGTCCAAACCGCTAGCTGATTTCAGGTAAAATTTCATGCATTTTCAATTTTCCTAATTTGAATTTACAAAAATTTCTGCTTCATTTTTTTTTAATTTTGTTTTCAGGCAGATTTTAGAGAAGCCATGTAATGTAGATACGTGCTTATCACTGCCTGAGAACTTTAACGGTATATCAGGCTAGATCTGTAACACTTTTTTTCCCCCTTCCTGTTTTTACTGCTCTCAGTGTAGATTCACCCCAATACCTTGGGTGGAAGGTGCTATTTAAAATCTAAAAATGCATCTTTCCATGCCATAAATGTTAATCTTAGAAGTGGTACCCCACCCCGCCCCCTATTAGCCCAACCTAACATCGGCCCATTAAAATATATCTGGGCTTTGTACCATGGGAACATTGTTGGCCCAGATAATGCCCAGTGCTGTTCAGCATCTGATGTAGGTGATCAGACGCCTGTCACGGAAGGTCCTCCCTGTGTCACTGCTGCTGCCACCCCCGTGGTATAGGAGTACTTCTGCATCTACTACCTTTTTTTTTTTTTTTTTTACTTAAACTGACAACATCAAACGCCCTTTGATTGTATGATAAGCCTGGTGACTAGGTGTGTTACAGAATTTATTTTGAAGTTGGACAATTATGACCAAGGATAAAGGAGAGGCCCCCAGGCTTCCTTCTCTGCTGGGTTTCTCTGCTTCCTGTTACCCCACTGAAGAGAGAATACCAGGGCACCAAAGGCCTCTGGCAATGTACACAGACAAAAGAACTTCTGGGAAATCCTGCAACACAGCACAAACACTCATTGAGCACTTAGTACATAGCAGAACCTATAGTTAGATGTTGGGAATAAAAGATAAAACACATTTGGTGCCCCTGAGGAGCTAGTGTCCAGTCAGAAGACTTACGTGGAGGGGTGATTTCAATACATTACAACGAGCTCTAAGACAAAGGCATCAATGTGGGGCTGGAGAATCACCGAGGAGGGCAAGAGTAGGTCTTCTGGAAAAATAAAGGAATGCATCGGAGGGGATATTTGAGTTGGGTGTTGTGGGATGAGTGGGTGTTTCCTAGGCTGAAGTGAAGGAGATACTCTCACCCCAGGCTTAAGGGGTGACATGTGTGCAGGGGCAGAGGAGTGCATGGAGAGATTGCATGTGGTGGGGAGACAAGATGGGCTAAAAGAACCTGATACACCAATTTTCTTTCCATTCTAATAAGCAGTTGAAAGTCGTTGAGATGTATGAGTTTGGAAAGGGCATGATCTAATCTGCTTTTTAAGAAAGTTATGCTTGTGGCCGTGTGGCCCTAGTGCTGTGGTGGGTGAAAGAGGGTGCTGGGGGAGGGGTGGTCATCTAGGTCCTGGTAGTAATTGCCTCCATGATGATGAGGAGGCCCAATTTAGGACAGGGATATGGTGAGCATAAGACCCAACCAAAAGATAAGATTCTAATGTGGAATCCCTGTCATTTGGGTGGAAAGGGAGTAGCTGAGATGAGGCAACATTTCTAAATTGGTGCACTGGGTGGATGGGATGGTGATGACCCCAAAGACAGGGGATTCAGGGTGAAAAGCAGGTTGGAGAGAAAGGATGAGAGCTGACCACAAGAAAAGCTGTCTAGATCATCAAGTGTTCGCTGGCAGTCTCACACTGAGTTAGATTGACCACTGTGTCTTCCAGGAGCAGTGCTCTCCATCTTGCCTCCCACAGACAGAAGAGAGGCTGCAGGCAATTGACACTGGAGGATTCCCTTTGAAGGAAGGAACACGACCGAGGAGGGAGCTTTTCTGTGTCTGTCTCCCATCACTGCAAGAGTGTGGACTCTGAGTCAGGCTTCCTAGTGCCCCAACCCAAGCCCCCTACTCCTGCTATGGCCATCTGCCTGCCATGGAATTAATAAGGCAAACAGGTAGACTGTTACCAGTGTGAGGGCAGGGCTGCAGCTAATTCATCTTTGTATCCTCATACCTGGTACATAAAAGAAGCACCATAATTTGACTGATAAATGCACAAACAAATGGATTTATACCATGTGACCTTGGGTACATAACTTCATGTTTCTAGGCATTGATCCTCAACATTAAAGCTTCACCCCATGACTGCATTTTGAGAGTTCAATGTGTAAATACATATACAAAGCCTGGCACAGTAACTGGCACTCAACAACTCTCAACAAATGTCTCTTACTCTTTTTCCAGGCCAGAACGTTCCATCTTCACATAAACTTCAGTACCTAGCCTAACGCTTTCAGAGCAGCGGGCTTCTAATCGATGTTTGTTCAATGCAATTCACCGAAGAAAATGTCCCCTTAGTTGAAGCCTCACTTTGCAGCGAGGCTGCTGTTTCTACATCTCCTAACAAGCCAGAGCAACTTTGAGGAAAGTAGGTGCGTGAAGCACTCCCAGGAAGATGACTTGGTGTATTTTCAAATCAGCCAAAGCTGCTAGTCTGGTGATAATCACTGGGTCCTTCAGCTTTGATGCCAACAACCGAAACCAGGTGCCCCTGTGGCAGCACGTACTGATGTAAAGCTGCGTCTCAATTACCCCAGATTAGATGATGGGGCAGTCGGGGGCGGGGGTGGGGGTGGGGTGGGGTGGTGGGTTGGGGAAGGATGACAGGGAGAGAAAGGCTTTAAAGAGGTTTCTGCTTAAAAGGCATTATTTTCTCTGCTCTTAGACCAGGACACCGAAGTCCACAATGCCGACGGCAGCAGCAAAGAATTTGCAGAGCCCACTCAAGTCCCCTCGAGCACCCGACTCCATCAACTACAGAACAAAGGAAGCCCTCACGTGTGGTGTTGGCCAAGATGCTGCCATTTTGACGCCCCCTGGCAAGGATTACGGGTTAACAGAAAATCTCAAGCTGATCCTTTTAGTTCCGCAGTGAGCACCTGGGCCAAAGAAACACTAAAATCAAGCAATATTGACTGAACTTAGAAGGAAAAAAAAAATCCCAGAAAAAAATTCCCGAGGAGCTCTGTGTCAACACTGCCGGGTCTGATGCCACCTCTGGGTGATTCACGGCCCAGTGAAGAGCTGCAGCCTGCTGTGTGGGAGCTGACACCTGTATCCTCCAGAGTACAGCTGCCCTGGTTCACGTCAAAGGCAGCGTGTCAGAACCCTTGATTTATATTCACTGAGGAATGGATGTTTTTATTTGTCATGGCTCCTGTGTCAAAACCAGTTTGATTTCCATAAATTTTACTTTTCTTAAAAGAAAATCAAAGTAACTGAAACAAGCAGCTCTCTGGCAGAATCTCACAGGAAATGTTTAATAAAATAGAAGATGAGAAGGGGCATGTTGATGAGGGAAGACAAAGACGGCAAGATATAATCACAGTGTTGATGTAAACATTACCAGTTAGTTACCTGAGGTCAGAAGGTAAAGCAAACCATTTGCAACCACCAGGATAGAGTATGTCAGAAGCCTTGCACCCAGGGCCTCCCTGGTGACCTAAGGGTTAAGTCTCAGCACTTTCACTGCAGTGGCTGAGTTCAATCCCCAGCCAGGGAGCTGACCCACATGGTGCAGCAGACCTCTCCTGTCTTACCCGCTGCTCGCCTTAACAGTGTATTTCAGTCAATCTGCCCGTTCTGCTCCCCACTCTGTCTCTGGTGAATCCTCTCACCCCTACACCTCTGGCCTACACCCCCGTTCTTCTATGCAAAAATAAATAAAATAAGGACATCTTCTACCCAGCACACAGGCAGGAGCCACGGAAACGAGGTTTCAGAACCTTCTCTGACTGTGTAGCATTAGACATGTTACCTCTTGGCCTCAGTGTCTCCTCATCTGGAGTGGTCTCTACAGGCCAGCTTTCTGGGAATTGACAGTGGATTCACCCCAGTAGCCACCTTGTGCAGCTCCAGGGGTTACTAGGAAGATTGTAGTCTGTGGGAAAGACCCCCCTTTAGAAGCCAAGAAACATGGTGGTGCTGGAGACCCACATGGAGCATCTAGCAAGGACCCCTCTTCTACCAGGATCCACTCTACCCTCCTCTTAAGAAGATTAGAGGGTGTTATAGGTAGCTCTGTAATTCCTAGATGCCTCATCATCCTACCCTGTTCCCAGGCACTCTCTGAATGGGTCTTAATTGGTGTGGGCCACTATAACAAAAATACCGCTGACCAGGTGGCTCATAAACCACAGATATTTATTCCTCAGAGTCCTGGAGGCTGGCAGTCCGAGATTAGGGTGCCTGCATGGTCAGGTAGTGTCTGGTGAGGCCCACTT